TTTGAAAATTGACTGTGGTAATGTTGTACAACTCTGTAAATATATTAACAAGTGTTGAACTGAATAAAATGGGTGAATTTTGTGGATTTATGTGAATTATATCTCAATAAAGCTATATAAAAAAAAAGTGGTCAAAGTCTTTTAAGGAAAGCCTCAACAAGAAAGAGAAAGAACAAAGCAAAGAAAGAAACAAGCAGCAAAACAACAAAAAGGAACCCCCCCAAGACATAGAGACATTTGGGAAGCAGAAAAAAAAAGAACCTTGAAATAATAAACATAAAAATTAAAGACATAAAACAAGAATAGATTGCAACTCCTGTCCCCAAAAACATTGAATATGAAGTCTGTAAGATAGAGTCAATGAGATCTTCTAGAAAGTAAAATAAAAAATACATGGATCATAGGATATAAACATGAGAAAATTAGAGGATCATTTGAGGAGATCCAACCTATAGGAGTTAGAGAACAGAGAGAATAAAGTTCAAAGAAATAATGCACCAGTCTCTAGGTTGAAAGCCCCAAGACTGTTCAGCCTATATCAAGGAACACCATCATGAAATGTAGGTCAATGGGCATACAGAGATGATCCTAACTACTTCTAAAGAGGACGACAGGTCAGTCATACAGAACTGAGAATCAGAAAGGCAGTCACATCAGGATCAGGGAAACAAAGGACTCATGCCTTCAAAGTGCTGCATGACTTTTCATGCTAGAATTTTATGCCTACCCATATTTTCAATCAAGTAGAAAAGGAACATTTTCAGACACTTGGCAAAAATGGGATCCCACGCAGGAAAGTGACAAAAGGAATTTCCAAGATGACAGCTGCTTGTCAGACTTGGAGAACAGCCAGTCCAGACTGCAGGAGGAGGTGGACAAAGCATCTGTGCTCTTGAAAAATGGGCTGGCATCTGACAGACTCATTGTAGCAGCTGGAGAGGAAGGAAGGAGGGAGGCAAGGAAGAAAGGAAGGGAGGAAGAGTAGATGAGGGGAGGGAAAAACTTGCAGTTTCAAAGAAAAAGGAAATGAACAAAACTAGGTAATTATTAGGTCCAGGAGGAAAAAAAAATTTTTTGTACAAGAAACAATCACAGTATGCTATTTGCCTCAAAGACCACCTAGCATAGTCTTAATATTTACACTGACAACTGATTTAACTAAAAATTTTGATAGCACTGTATTGGGAAACAGAGGTTAATGGAGGGACTAAAATATAACTCTGAACATTTATTATGTTTATAAAATTTAAAATTAGCTTTAAAGAAAAAAGAAAAGACATTACCAATCATTTAAACCAATGATTTTATCTTATTGGGGCAGTAACTTTGTAAGGTATATTAATGTCTAAATCAACATGTTGTACACCTAAAAGTAACAATATTGTATGTCAACTGTAATTGATAAATTTAAAAAACAAATTAATAAACCTGTAGTCTTACAGCTTTTATTTTTTGTTAGCAGAACACTTTTCCCCAAAATCATACGCAGAATAAAAGCACAGCTAGTCTGACAGCAGTAGAGGCAGGGCTCTCTTGCCCTAGCAGCCTCTGAGACACCGCCTCTTAGAAGCCACTAATTCTGAAGAATTTAAAAACTTACTGATTCAGACTCTCTCTGACTCATATAACTAATAAGTTGGAAAGAAGTTATACAAAGTTATACAAAGCTGGGGTTAGATTCAAGGCCCAAGTCCACACCCAGGACTCTTTCTTTTACATGGTCCTGCTTCAAGAATTTAAAAACAAAGGGACAGAGGTATCAATTAATGCCAATTCATATTTAGAGATAGGAAAATGTGGATATATTTGATCACTTTGGTGTAGGCGTTGGGGAAAGTGAAAGGGAATGCATGAGACTTGAGGTTTTCACAGCAGGAGAGTGAACAATAAACAGGGTAAACCTAGAGAAATCCAAGCCAAGACATATCATAATTAAACTTTTTTTTTTTAAAAAAAACTTTTCCTCCTTTTTTTTTTTTTTTTAAATATATCTTTATTGATTTCAGAGAGCAGAAAGGAGAGGGAGAGAGAGAGAAACATCAATGATGAGAGAGTCATTGATCGAGCCCACAACCTGGGCATGTGTCCTGACCAGGAATTGAACCCGGATCGCCTGGATCCTAGGTCGACGCTCAACCGCTGAGCCACACCAGGCCGGGCCATAATTAAACTTCTAAAAGGTAATCAAAGAAAAAAACCTTGAAAGCAGCGAGAGAAAACATCTTGCCCGGCCAGAGGTGGCTCAGTGGTTGAGCATTGACCTATGATCCAGGAGATCATGGTTTGATTCCCGGTCAGGGCACATGAGAGGGTTTCGGGCTTGATCCCCGGGGGGGGTGGGGTGTAGGAGATAGCCAATCAGTGACTCTCTCATCATTGATGTTTCTATCTCTCTCTCTCTTCCTCTCTCTGAAATCAATAAAGATTTATTTTTTAAAAAAACAACAACAAAACCCAACATCTTATCTATAGGGTGAAGTAATTAGAATGACAACAGATTCTCATCAGAGGCCATGCAGGCTAGAAGGAAGTGGCACAGTATTTCCCAACTGCTGAGAGTAGGGTCAACCCAGAATCCTATACCCCAAACTGTATTATACCCCAAATAGATATGCCTAAAATATGTTTCAGTATAAAGGGAGAAATGAAAACACTTTGAAACGAAGGAAAACTAAGAATTTGTTGCCAGTTGACCTATCCTAAAAGAATGGCTAAAGAAAGTTTTCTAAAAAAGGAAAAAAAAGCCTTCGTACATCAGGAAGCAAGAAGTCAAGTAAGCAAAACTATTAGTAAATACAATAGGCTTTCCTTCTCTTCTTGAGTTTTCTAAAGTATGTTTGATGATTGAAACTAAAATATAACACTATCTGATGTTAGTTTCAAAAGAACAATGTTGCCATCAGGCATTTCTCTCATAGGCCATATGCATTTCATCAGTGTCCGATAACCATAGAATTTTTCTTCCTTTCTACAGCAAATAAGTATGCTTTGTCCACTAAGTTTAAGCTGCCACTTGGGAAATGGAAAATTCTTTTGCTAAGGAAATGGTTCTTTATGGATGGAAAAGGATACAATGCTTAATGATAGTGCTTATAAAATGTGCACATAATGGGAACAATCTTCTGAATTCTGTCAGTGGAGATAAAATATTACTTAAGTGCTGGGGCTTTAGACTTGGTTTGTAACTCAAATCTGGAAGAATTAAACTCCATTTCAAAAATTTCTAACTAAAAAGTGGTTCAGATCACAGGAAGTTCAGAGGAAGCCTGCCATGCTGACTGTTTCTCTGTGATTTGCACTTTGACTTATCAAGGGACACATAGCATGCAAGTGTGGAGAAGGAAACTTGGAAGGAATGTAATAAGCTATTTGCTCCCTCAACAAACTACCATCACATCCAACAATGACCATAAACGTGGTGAAGCCAGGCTTGACTGTGCCCTGGCAACCCTCTGAGCAGAGTATTCATGAATGCTAAGTATCCATCTCCTATGAAATTTGTCAAAACACTGAAGAAGTCTGTTCTCCATAATCTGTTGTCTGGCCACTAGCCCAGTTAAATGATTCATGTTAGCTGAGCAGGAAGAGAAAATGAAGAGTGAGAAGAGAATGGAAATCATTTAGGAGTCTCTGAGGAAGGTCTTAGGCACCAACACTCAATTAATGCATAAAATTAGGGTCATCATTTTTAAGGATATTCAAATGGATATCAACTTCTTTCAAAATAAGAGGAATGTCAAGAAAAAGTACACCAAGTTTTTGAGTGTGATTTTTTTTTTTTTATCTACCCAGTGGACAAAGATCATAAAGGTTAGTACATTTTATGGCTGGCAAGGCTCAAAGTAAACTATCTTTATGTTTCTATTGGGAATGTATATTGAACAATACCTGACAACAGATTTTATTTTACCCTACTTACAAGCTAATAAGTGAGCCTGTTTAGTCTATCATGAATCCTGGACTAAGACAAAAGATGCCTGGATCAGAGGCAAAGGACTTTGTTACTTTGAAGCTGTATGAGCACCAGAGTGTTTGCACAAGCTCTTCCTGGCCCCAACTCCCCCCAGGGGAAGCACAGGAGGCCCAGATGGATTCTGCTAAGGCTCCCTGAGCTTGAGGAAGCTACCCCTTTCATAGCAAGCAGTAAGAAAGCTTGCTTTTTTTGTCTTGGAAGGACACAGTACGTCCGCCTTGAAGATGCTCACTGCAAACTTCACCCTGAGAAATGGTCCACATAAAGACAGGTCAAAGATGTACACTCCTTGGCAGAGTGTGTAGGAGATAGCCTGGAGGGGTTTCTCCCATGATTGCTCGGGACTTTGCAATAAAAAATCACACATACACTTAACTTTTGACCTAACAATTCCACCTCTAGGAATCACAAAATGATGGCTATAAGGGTTATTTATTCCAACATGGTTTATCCCTTTGCGGTAGTATTAAATTTGGACATGGGTGTCGTACTGGTCGGAATTAATTTCCATTGAAAGAGCAGTGATACATAACATGCAAGATTATGAAGGATAAACAAGATTTATGAACTGATACATGAATGGAGTTAAGATTCGTACGGTTCCTTGCTGTGGTGGCTGAGAGGAGACATACGACCAGAACGGTAAAAAAGCTTTGGTGGCTGAGAGTAGACAAACGACCGCAAAGGGTTATAATAGTAAAAGACCAGAAAAGGTGAAATGTCCATTGATATAGTACTGGTCTTATTGTAATAGATCCTCATGATGGAATATTACACAGTAATAATAACAGGTGAAGAATTTCTTCATGTGTTGATATAGATTGCGAAGAAAACAGATGCAGGAAAATAAGCATAATTCTCCCATTTGTGTAAAAGAGGCAAAAAAGTATACACATATTTTCTAGTGCCATGTATGCATAAAGTGTCATTTCTCTAAGGATACACAAAGCACTAATTTTAACGGTCTGATAGACACACTGACAAAAGTAAGAACTTACATATTCCAATAACACATGACACCAAGGGGTTTGTATTCAAAATTTTAATAATAAATTGTGCCAGTAGAAGCTTTTCAAAGGCAATGATATATCAATAAATAATAGTTAAATTGAGTTCCTGAGAAAGAACCTACCACATAAAAGTGTGTCAGAGCGCTTGTAAATAACAACATGGCATTACTGTAAAGTAGCGGAAATACTGACAGTCATGGTACAAGCACAGCACATGTCGAGATTGCCATTCATACAAAATGTAAACCAGTACACAAAAATCTTTTCTTTATAGTTTAGACATTGATAAACTTATAAGTGTTGTTGCCTAGATATATACTAAATAATTAATACATTATGCTAAAAAAGTCAAGGAAAAATGTGTGGAATAATATAAGGAAAATATGATACATCGGATTCTTAAAAAGCAAAAGAGAACTGAACGTTTTATTCAAATATAAATCACTTTAAATAGGATTCATACTAGTTTGAAATAAGGAATATTTTGTACGTTTATCTATGTTGTTATATATACATCTATACATCTAAGAAAATATGTATGGCTTAATTTTTTTTTATTCCAATGTCACTTTGAATAATCGTTGTTTTACAAAGATGAGGAAAGTGTATTTTTAAAACCAAGTTAAGACTGACACTTCAAAGCACACCAAAAAAAAAAAAGCCGAGATTACTAAATTTCACCATGGTAAGATCACAGCTGTCTCAGACAGCGAGAGAAATAGCATCAGGCAGACCTCTTGAGGGGGGCCCACCTGGTGGCAGTAGGGTGGCAGCTATTGGATTCCACACATCAGCTACACCAAGAACGAGAGAGCAGACTGGTGAAACAGAGTTCCATGATTAACTTCAAACTTTTTGGCATAGCTAAATTAATCCCTTTAGATGTACACAAGTTTAGTATATGATGAATGCTTAAGTTTAGCCCCCGAAGAATCCAACCATACCCAAGACGCACACACAGAAAGTCACTTCTCAGTTACACACCTACGTTTAACAAAATAGTAAGGGATACAATCACAGTGAAATCACCCATATGGCATGTCATCGCACACTGTCTACAACGCCTCATTTATAGATACTGTATAAAAACATCCTCACAGAACCCGCTGTGAATGGCAAGACACGGTCATTTATAATAGAAGACCCAGCTCATGCAACACTCTCTACACACCAGACATCAGAAATTACATCAACAGAGTCATGTTGCTCACACTGTCTATGATACTATAATATGCAAAAAAAAAAAAAAAGCAGCTTTTAACATATCACAATTTTGAAATGCAGGAAAAAATATAAAAACAAAAACCATTGTGTGAATAAAATGGTATCAGTAACATGAAACAGTGTTATCTTTTTTTAATGTTATTGCACAGAGATTTCTTATCACGTTTTTCAGTTTTAATTTCTTTTCATAAATGTAAGTGCTGTGATAAAATACAAATGTATAAAATGACAGCAGCATGATTTGTCAGAGTTAATCCCTATAATTTAGTAAGAAAAAATGACTATAAACAAAATAAGTGCTCTTTTTAAACTGTACTAAATTTTTAAAAAATTGTTTCAATGCAGTGAAGGTCCTCAAAGGCCAATTCAAAGCCATGTTGACACCCATCCCCCTTATCAACCAGAATCTAGAAATGAAGATATGCTAGACTAGAGTTTTTTAAAAAGCATTTTTGTTTGTTTTGGGTTTTTTTGGTGAAGATCAAAATTTCAAGTGAAGTAATCAATGATTAACTGTTGATAACAAAGCTGCCCTGAACTGTCCACCAGATCTTTTAAGGAACCAGCCCTGGGCACCTGGGTGTCAGTGCCAAGTCTGTCTACACATATACTGGTTTGCAACCTTCAGTCTGATCCACCAGATTGGAATTTTCCAAATTGGAGTTCTCAGCTTGTGACACCTCTGCTCCTGAAGGCTTTGGGCACCTGAAGGGGTAGCCATTGTCATCAAAGAACCTTCGGAAGGTAAATTCATAAAATGCGTGCTCAGGGTGCTTGTTATTTGGGGAGGTGAGTGTGTCCCAGGCCTTGGTACTGTCTTCACTAGCATCGTTCCAAGGGCTTTCTTCATCTACTGGGTCAAAATTTGAGGTGTCCATGGGGTGGCTGATCTTGGGAATGTAGGGGGCCGGCTGCTTCCGAATGTCACTAGAGAAATCAATGGTGATGAAGAATGGGTGGGCTTTCAGGTCGTCAGCCCCGTTCCTCCCCAGCCGGTGGTCAGCAGCACAACAGAGTTTAGTGATGAGGTCCCGGGCCTCAGGGCTCAGCTTGACCTGGGCTGGAATGTGGAGTGTGTTTTCCCAGTTTATCACCTCAAGAGACAATAGAACCAAAGTTTTAGTTTCTCCAAACATCTCAAGGCCTATATGGGCAGTTCTGAGACAATATGTGATGATGTGACTTTTAAATAATTTTAGTTTTGTGACAGGAGAAAAGTCAGGATAGACTCAGAAGCTATGGCTGTGGATCTGAGCAGCTATAGAAGGTCAGTGTTCTAGTTTGGGGCACATAGCCTGAGGCCTAGGATGCTAAAGCCAAATCGGCCAAGAGAGACTTATTTTTCTTCTATCAGAAAGACTGGTTAGCAAAAGAATTTTGTGCTTTCCACAAAAATGAAGAGACTGATCCTCTCTGAGTCATTTCCTTAGCTATGGCAACAGATTTCTGTTTAACCATCATGGTTCTCACTCAATACTTATTATGGCCAAGAGATGGCCAGCCTGGGTTTTGTAATTTAAAAAGCAACCTCACGGAGAATAATAAAGCTGACCTACCCTGTGGCCTTGGCCTCCTATTCCTGATACTCAACTGCACACACCGGCCATCTAAATGTTCAGTAAATACATTTGTCATAGAGGTGTGTCTCCAGTGAGGAAAAGAGCTAAGAGACTTTTTCATACCTCAAATCAGGATAAAACAAGGCCAACATAACTGGCTATTGCATGGGTAACTGAGCATCAGGTGAGGCATGGAGGCAGGTGGGTGTGTGGGTGGGAGGGTTGGTTTAAACCTTAGTAGTTTTAGTAGAGCTAAAACTATAAAACTCCTAGAAGAAAACACAGGGGAAAATCTTTATGACATCGGATTTGGAAATGACTTCTTGGATATGACACCAAAAGCACAGGCAACAAAAGAAAAATATATAAATTGGACTTTATAAAAATTTAAAACTTGTTCATCAAAGAACACTGCTAAAAGAATGAAAAGGCAACCCACAGAACGGAAGACTATATTTGCAAAACATGTATCTTATAAGGAGTTAATATCCAAAATACATAAAGAATTTCTACAACTCAACAACAACAAAAATAACCTGATTAAAAAAGGGCAAAGGACTTGAACAGACATTTCTTCAAAGAAGACATACAGCCTGGCCGTTGTGGCTCAGTGGTTGAGCATCAACCTGTGAACCAGTAGATCACCATTTTATTTCCAGTCAGGGCACATGCCTAGGTTTCTGGCTCAACCCCCAGTCAGGGGCGTGCAGGAGGCAGCCGATCGATGATTCCCTCTCATCATTGATGTTTCTATCTCTCTCTCTCTCCCTTCCGCTCTGAAACCAATAAAGATATATATATCTATATATATATATATAAAGAGAAGACATACAAATGTCCATCCAGTAAGCACTTGAAAAGAAGCTCAACACCACTAATCACTAGGGAAATACAAATCAAAACCACAATGAGATATCAATTCACTAGGATGAATTGAAGCCACCATTAGGATGGCTACTATAAAAAC